CTGAGGCATCCTAGGCCGAAGGACTGGCATGTTTAAAGGCATCAAATCATAAAGGAAGGAAAGGTAGAAAAGGGTAGGAGGAGAATCAGGGCTTGCCATTTCATCCTAAATATTTAAATTTTATCCTGTAAGAAAAAAGTATAAGAAGGTATTAAATGGGGAAATAACTTGATCACATTTGCATTTCTAAAGTTTTACACTGACAACACTGTGGAAGATAAATGGAAAGCTGGAAAGCTGGAAAACTGAGACGGTAGCAGGGAAACTAGTTTTAGGGTGTTATTGCAGTATGCCAAGGAAGAGACATTGAGGGTCTAGTGGCGTTGTGGTTATCGGAGGGGTGGAAGAAAATGTTGAGGAAGTAGAATGTGAGCTATCGATTCAATATGAGTAAGAGGAAGGGTAGCCTACGTTATCTCTGATGTTTTTGACTTGTGTAGACTGTGAGAGAAGACCAGGTTTTCCTACCTAACCTCATTTCCCCTGGTTGGAAGGCAGAGGGAAGCCGAGTAGTCGTTCATTTTGATATATTGCATTTAAAGTACCTGTTGCACACCCAGATTAGTGGGCAGTTGGAGGGGTGTGTGTGTGTGTGTGTATAGTGTTGGAAGCTAAGTAGAGGACAGTGCTGGAGTTAAAGATGTAAAAATGCTCAGTAATTTAACCGGTAGTTTCTAGATTGGAGTATGCAGCCTTCATTACAGTGTATAATGAAATGTTTGCATTTATATTTATTTTCTGTTTCATCCTTTTAATTTGTATGTTTTGTAGTGTATAAAACATTTTAGAATAGTAATGTTGTTGTTGTTGTTGTTATGTGCCGTCAAGTCGGACCCGACTCATAGCGACCCCTCCTTGGGTTTCTGAGGCAGTATCACTACGGAAGTAGATCACCCAACCTTCCATCTGAGGAGTGGCTTGTGGGTACACATGTGTAATTTATAAAATAAGGTGTATACATGAAGATGTGCTTGAAATATTGTTACATTTGGTAGGTACTTGATCAAATTTAGAGAGTATTGATTTAGCCTGGTTGGAAACCAGTGGTCCCTTATTGGTGTTTTGCTTTACAGTAATAACCTGGAGACTTTTTTTTTTTTTTTAATCTTTCTGGATTCTATATTCAGATGCTCTGATTCATTAAGTTATGTAGTAAGGAATCTGAAAATAAATCTTTTAATTTAATTCCTTAAGTGTTCTGATAATGGCCAGATTAAAACTATGAAAAGCATGTAGACAAAGAAGATAAAATAGGTACGTTTAACTGATACTGTGCTGATTCTAAAAGTTCCAACTATGTATAATACATATTCTTTTGATTTTCATCATCTGATAGAATGGCTGCAGTCCATTTTGAATTGATGGTTGCCACTAAGCTATAGTTAATCTTTAATTAAAAATTCAGATGTCTGTTTTGATGTTGTAGACTTTTTTGGTGCAGGTGACATAGAACATTTATTTTATTTTTGTTGTTGTTGTTGAGAATAACCAAAAAACCCAACCCCACTGCTAATGAGTCAACTCTTAGTAAGCCCCAAGGAAAGAATAGAACTGCTCCATAGTTTCTAAGACTGTAATCTTTACAGAAGCAAACTACCACATCTTTCTCTCAGGAAGCGGCTGGTGGGTTCAAACTGCCGACTTTCGGTTAGGAGCCCAGTGTTTTAACCACAGCACCACCAGAGGTCCTCAACAGGACAAAGAGAACTCTATAAAGAATACAGAAGTAGCAGCTGTAGGTAGCAGCCACCACCCCGTGACAGAGCACCCAGGGACGAGCCCATTCTTTCTAAGGGCTAAGGTGTGGTGACAGTGGTTCTCAGAGGTGTTGTGCCACTAGGAGCTGCTGGTATGATGGGGGAGGTCTTCCACAGGAAGGTGCCTAGCCTCAGAACACCCTGCAGGCTGCCTTAGAAGGGTGCCTGAAAGCTAGTCCAAGGGAAGCAGGAAGGCTGCATTCTATTATGAAACTGCCTGGGGAGAAGGGATGGGGGGGTACCCATGGGTAAATTTCATGGCTGTTAGCAGCTCTGTACGTACCTAACAGGAGCAGCCTGCAAGAGCCCATTGTTGTTGTTATGTGCCGCCGAGTGGGACCCGACTCATGGTGACTCCTCCTTGGGTTTCAGAGGAGTGGCTGGTGGGTTTGAACTGCCAGCCTTCTAGTTAGCCCATTAAGGTGACTGAATTCCTTGAGACCAGGAAGAGAAACGCTTTCTTTTCCTGGTGTCCTTCCAGTGCCCTCTACTGGCAAAGCCTAGTATTAGGCCAACTGGCAAGGAAGACTAATGCAAAAGAAAAAAAAAACGCAACCACTGCTGTGGAGTCCTGGAGTCAGATCCAACTCACAGCGACCCCTCCTTGGGTTTCTGAGGCAGTATCATTGCGGAAGTAGATCACCCAACCTTCCTTCCGAGGAATAGCTGGTGGGTTTGAACCTTAAGCTCCATTTTTGTAGAACATGCAAGGAAGGGTAGATTTGGAGCTGAGAGGCAATAAATTGATAAGTTACATAGACTCCCTTGACCATATTTTTAAGTCAAATTGCTGTATTTTTGGTTTGGTATAGAAGGTTGTGTTTGTTTTGTTTTTAATGGCTATATGCATTAGGGGAGCTCTGATGGCGTAGTGCCTAAGGTATTTGACTGCTTACCAGAAGGTTGGCGGTTCAAACCCATAGCCACTTCTTGGAAGGAAGATTGGGCAATCTACTTCCGTAGTGATACCCCCTCAGAAACCCAAGGAGTGGTCGCTACAAGTTGGATCCGACTCAACAGCAGTGAGTTTGTTTTTTTTTTTATATGCATTAGAAATAACTCTGACTCCTAACTCATTATTTTTTACAGTATAAGTCACATTTAAATTCTTATGCATTTATCTATCACTGTTTTTAATTTCTCTTTTTTACATTCAGGCACTCTTCAAGATTTTCAGTCTAATGGATAGCATGCAAACAACAATTCTGTTGAAAGTCAGGTAGAACTTAATGATAAACCAAAACCAACCCAAACCCACTGCCATTGAGTTGATTCTGACTCATTGCAACTCCCATTGGGTTTCCAAGGCAGTAAATCTTTACAGAAATAGATTACCCCATCTTCCTTCCACGGAGCTGCTGGTGAGCTTGAACTGCCTACCTTCTGGTTAGCAGTCATATGCCTTAGGCACTGTATCACCAGAGCTCCTGCTTAGTGTTAGACATGAAGAGGTTTTGTCATCATCTTCTCATAGTAAAGAATTTGTACAAGTTACACTAGTATAAATGATTGGCACTATAGTGACTATTTCGTATATTATTTATACAAATAATAAGAGTAGGAAATAGTAGAAAATGAGATAGATATTTTGGTAAGGAGACAGATGGATATATTAGTAATGTAGCATAATAAATAAAATGTGTTGAATGTCATGGGCATTGATACCATGCAAAAAGCATAATCCCCATAGAAGAAGGTACTTTTATGTATGTTAAAGAAAGCACTTGAGCAAAGAGCTATTTTCAAAGGTTTTGATGTAGCAATTACTTTTGCAAAGTTCCTTTCCTTTTAAACTAACAGGAGAGTGAGTCAAAGGAGCGGCCCGCCAGGTGGTGTTAGAGGCTTGTGCTCAGAACTCGGTCAGTCCGTGCTGCCCCAGTAGCATCTGTAGCTCCCACAGCAAAGCCCCTCACCGAACACACTGAAATCCCAAGGTTTTGTCTGGGTTGTTAGGAGATTAAAAACCCAATGCAAACACCAAATTTTATGGACAAAGTTAACATGAACCCCACAGTTGAACATGAAGGTGTAAACTTTTGTTGAGCATACTCTGTTTACTAAGGAGAATGTTACATACTTTAGAAAGTTGTCTGTGTTTTAAAGGTTGGTATGTGGAAATAAATAACAAATCCACTTTTTCCTGACAGCACCTATGAGGATAAAACAGATCCCCACTTTACACTTCACTGTTCGATTCTAATACCAGCTACCCTGGCAGCACTTCTTCCTCTGACCCTGTTCACCCAGGGCTAAGTCAGAGTTCACAGGCTAAAGGACACAGTAGGTTTAAGATTTAAGATGCCAGCCACAAGTTTAGTTCACATAATACCCTCACTTCTGACCTGCTGGTAACATAGTCAAGGTTTTCCCATTCCCTGTTCAGAGTATAAGCCACAGCTCAGAGGTCCCCCCAAGCTTCCTCAATTTTGACTTGATGGCTACAAAATTAGGGGTTCTCTCTACTCTTTCAGAATCCCAGCTATAAGCTCAGGGGTTCCCAGCCATCGCTCACTTCTGACCCACTAGTTCTCACTACTGCCGCAGGTTCGATAATTTGCTAAAATGACTTACAGAAAGCACTTTATTTGTGATTACAGCTTTATTATAAAGGGTGCGAAGCAAGATCAGCATGAAGAAGAGATATATGTAGGGCAAGATCTGGGAGGTTTCCCAAAGCAGAGCTTCCGTGTTCCAGAAAGAGATGTGCTGTCCTCCTATGTGCATTGATGTCTTTCACCAACCAGGAATCCCTTGCAGCTTCAGTGCCCAGAGCTTTTATTGAGATGGGGGCAGAGGGGAGTCCTCAGTATATAATACAGACTCCAGCTCCTCTCCCCTGCGATTGGTTGATATCGTTAGGTGATCAGTATTTTCTAGTGCATTGGAACTATCACCAGAACCTTGCATGAGACTTGGCTTAACCCCTTAACCTACTAATTTTAGATACTGAGGGCCTCAGTTTTATAGATAGCTGCTCATTTACCTTTTTAATGCCAAAGTAATTGTTGTGGGTTTTATTATTATTATTTATTTAATACAAGTAAAATTATATGGTATATAAAAAAATTATATACTCTGGCTTAAATTCTGGATTTTGAAATTTTAAATGAGTCTGTTGGGTCTTGGAAGTCTGTTTTTTTGTTTGTTTTTGTTTTTTGCCATAACGGTAGCAAAATATAAAATTATAATAACCATGTGTCTTTGAATCCTAAAATGTGTAATCCTGTGATTTCTTTTTTTCAGAGGCTGATAAAATACCAGTAATGCGTGGACAGTGGTTTATTGATGGTACTTGGCAACCTCTAGAAGAAGAAGAAAGTAATTTAATTGAGCAAGAACATCTCAGTTGTTTTAGGGGTCAACAGATGCAGGAAAATTTTGATATTGAAGTGTCAAAACCCATAGATGGAAAAGAGGGTAAGACCCATTAATGTATTCTTTAAATCAAGTAATTTGATAAAGTTTAGTTTCTAGATTTGATATAGTAATTAGGAGGGTTAGAATTTATACAGCTGATTTTTTATAATTTGATTATTATTTTAGAATTAGAGTTATAAACTGCGAATTTCTGAACTAATATTTCTCAATTTTTGTTTTATTTAATATATATATGATCAGTATCTTCTATAGATGTATAAATTATTATAGTATAGTCACAGACTAGTCCTTTTTAGTAGTTTCTATAGTTATCAAAGAACATTGAACTTATCAAAAAGTCCCTGGCCATTATATTAGAGCAGCAGTTAACAGTATGTTAGTGATGGTTGTTTTCTTGAAACTTAAAAGAAAAACTTTCAGTTACCTTTGTATAATTGAAACCATATTGATAACCATATCAATATCTAATTAGAAACAATCTATTCCTTACGTTTCTTTATTCAGCATTTGAATATGTTTGCAATAGTTAAAAATATATTTATAATAGCCACGATGGCCGTATTTTCTGAATCTTGTGTAAAATTCAAACTGTGTGGTAAAGTTAAAAACACTTCTGTTGTTCCATTTACTGCAGGCAGTGGGATCAACTATTCTGGTGAGTATAACAGTGCAGATAGTTTAGAATGTGTAGATTTCTCTAAAAATATTTTCTGAAAGTGTTTCTTCATCCATGTTTGCCTTTATTTGGGAGGTTTCTGAATTTAGGGAATTAAAATACAGATTAAGTTAATTTTTCTTCTCACAAAGTATCTCTAAAACAAAAACTCAACACTGATCAAGTAGTTCAGAGTTCAGCTTGAAAAAAATGAATTATGTAGTTGAAAGTAATTGCTTATACAGTAAAACCTGCAGAAGCCAAACCAAAAAAACTCACACTGCCGTCGAGTCGGGTCCGACTCAATAGTGCCTCCTCCTCGGGTTTCTGAGGCAGTATCACTACGGAAGTAGGTTGTCCAGCCTTCCTTTGGCTGGTGGGTTTGAACTGTCAGCCTTCTGGTTAGCAGTCAAATGTCTTAGGCACTACACCGCCAGAGCTCCTAAAAATCTTTACAGAAGTAGATTGCTCAGTCTTCCTTCCATGGAGTAACTGGTGGGTTTGAACCGCCAACCTTCTGGTTAGCAGTCAAATGCCTTAGGCACTGTGCCACCAGAACTCCATCTTTTGTTAGTGACTGAAATATTTTGTAACTTCTCATCACCACTATCAGAATAATCTCAAAAGATTTTTTTTATCATATATTAATTTCATTGCTGTTTGAGAAGATTGAGCTTTGAATTTTTTTCCCTTTCTAAAAGTCTTCTTCCTCAAAAATGGCAATTCACCTTAACAAACCCAGTTTAGCCACCTCAATTCCTTACTGTTAACTATGAAAAAAATCCAGGAGCTTGAAGAAGAAAAAAGATGGATGTTAAAAATATAAGTAGATTGTTTCCCTTCTTCACACTGTCTTCAAAGCACTTTTTTTTCCACTTGCCAATTCATCCTGTGGAGGTCAGTCATCAGCTGTTTGATTTCTAGATCTCAACTATTGGAATCTTGTTTTTATTATAAAAACAAGAGTAGAATTTCGTGTGTCCTTTTCATTTCTTCTCCCTACCTAAATGTTAGCTATAGCAGAATACTTAAAATTTCTTCAAAGTGCAATCATTTTATGACCCAGTCATTCAGATAAACCTGATAGAAGATCATAGTTTATTGGTGTGCATGGATCATTTCAATACATCTTTCTCTATGTTTGTGTCAGTTCTAGAGTATCAATCTAGGGTACTTTAGTAATTACATTTTTTCTTAATTTAAGGATGGTAAAGTTTTAATTAGTAGTAACAGAAAATTGTCAAATTATTAAAGCACCTTTGCATTGTATGCTTTCAAAATGGTGATTCATTGAGGCTCATTAGAAGGAAAAAAAAATGTAAGTACTATAACATATAGTTAAAGCATCAATGTTTTGTTATTAATAAACCAAAACAAACGCAACTGGCACAAGTGGGATCCGACTCATAGCGACCCCTCCTTGAGTTTCCAAGGCGATATCACTACGGAAGTAGATCGCCCAACCTTCCTTCCGAGGAGTAGCTGGGGGGTTTGAACCGCCAGCCTCCTGGTTAGCAGTCAGATGCCTGAGGCACTATGCTACCAGAGCTCCCATAAAGAATATAATTTTAATTCACTATATGCTGTTTTAAATTTACATGCATTTGTTATGCAATATTATTTTAAACATGTTAGGGTGTGACATTTGACTTTGAAGATATATGGGAAATTTTGCAGTACATTTGAAAATGATAACTGGCCTTTGTTGTTGGTGGTGTTGTTATGTGCCATCGAGTCGGACCCGACTCATAGCGACCCCGCCTTGGGTTTCCAAGGCAGTATCACTATGGAAGTAGATTGCCCAGCCTTTCTTCCAAGGAGTGGCTGGTGGGTTTGAACCACCAGCCTTCTGGTTAGCAGTCAAGTGCCTTAAACACAGTGCTACCACAGCTCCTGTAACTGGCCTTAGGAGAGAATATTTGCTATCTAATAAGTCACTATTACCAAGAAAACACCTTAAGAGTAAATCTCCAGGCCTGTGGCTCAGGACCATGATCTCAGGGACATCAAGCTTAATTGGCACAACGTAGTACACATAATCATTGTTCTATCTCCTGCTTTTTGGGTCGTAAAAGCTTACAGGCAGCCATCTAAGATGCAGCTGTTCGTCTTTTCTCATCTAGAGCAAAGAAGAATGAAGAAAATCTAAGACATATAGAAACAATTAGTCGAGGGACTAATGAACCACAGGAACCTCAGCCTACACAACTCTGAGACCAGAACTAGATGGTGCCCAGCTACCAATGACAACCACTAGGAAAGGGACCAAAATTAGAGATCCTGGATAGAATGGGAGGAAAACTGTAGAACAAAATTCAAAAATACACAACAGAAAGCTGTTGTTGTTGTTGTTATTATGTGCCGTTAAGTCGGACCCAATTCATTAGCAACCCCTCCTTGGGTTTCCGAGGCAGTATCACTACGGAGGTAGATTGTCCCATCTTCCTTCCGAGGAATGACTGGTGGGTTTGAACCGCCAGCCTTCTGGGTTAGCAGTCAAGTGCCTTAGGCACTACGCTACCAGAGCTCCCAGAGAGAAAGCTTGTTGTTGTTGTTGTTGTTATTGCTGTTATTGTTGTTGTTGCTGTCGAGTCGGCCCCGACTCATAGCAACCCCTCCTTGGGTTTCCGAGACAGTATCACTACGGAAGTAGGATTGCCCAACCTTCCTTCCGAGGAGTGGCTGGTGGGTTTGAACTGCCAGCCTTCTGGTTAGCAGTCAAGTGCTTTTAGCCACTATGCTACCAGAGCTCCTACAGACAGAAATGTGTAAGTAAGAAGGACACAGGGAAGAGGTAACCACAGGTTAGGAGGTAGAAGGAGAGCTGTTCCATTGTGGGGATTGTAATTGGTGCCGTGAAACAAAATGTGTATCAACTGTTGAGTATAAAATGAGTCTGCTTTGTAAACTTGGCACCCAAATCCCAACAAAATTTGTTTTAAAAAAGCAAACACCTCAAACTTAGCACATATATAGAGATGGAAGTTAATCTTTTGATTATTTTTCCTATTATCTCCAAGCTTCTGAAATGTCACATTTCATTAGTTTGAGGGGAAAACATACCTTTTCCATCTAAACTTTTTCACATATATATGTTAAAGCCTTGACTCTTAATATTATTAGGAGATTTTTAATGTTTCCATGTGCAAAGAGTGTTGTGCTAGGCAACTTTGAGAAAGAAATAGACAGGAATGGAAGAACACAGGAACAAAAAACAGATGGGACAAAGAAAAAAGAAATGGAAAAATGATGGACCTAAATTCAACCATATCAATAATTATAGTAAGAGTAACTGAAGTAGACACTCCAAGTAAATGACAGGGATTGACAGATTTGTTAAGAGCGTAAGACCTAACTGTATGCTGTCTATAAGCATCACATTATAAATATAAAATCACAGAGAGGTTGAAAGTAAAAGAATGAAATTTTCAGTGTTCAAACTAATTTGGGTGATATGACAACTCAAGTGTTAATTGATATATAAGGATTTACATTTAAGAATTTGACCTATAAAGTGTATATTCCTAGCACAGTTGCTGGATAAGGGTATCCTAAACTGAATGTAGCATTTCAAAATGTTTCTTTGGAGACCAAGAAGATGCCCATTGTCTAGCTTTTAGTGATTATTTAATTTTTATAAATTTACTCAACTAGTTTCTCTGAGATCCAAGAAAGATTTCCAGGAATTTTCTTTTGTTTGGAGTTGCAGGTTTGAGATACGTACACCTGCTTCCGCAGATGGTTGATGTTACCTAGGTTGCCAGCCAGTTTTCATAAAGGGAAAAGTTACTCAATTTTTCTATTTTAATTATTTGTCCATTAACAATGATGCCCTTTTTTCTGGATACTCTGCCAGTTTCAGAATTATGTATTGAAGAAAATTTCTTTAAAAGGTGAACTAGTAAGGAAATTTATTGGCATTGCTAATCTTAGTACTTTAAATCTTTTTTATTGCTGTGTAAGACTAAAATATTAATAAATGTTAGCATTTAATAAGCATTTCAGTTATATTTTGAACTTATGTGTACTTTTGCTATTACTATATAAGAATTTCTAAATAAAACTTAAAAAAGAAAGATAATACTTTCTGGTACTTAAACTTCCTTTAACAGTGTTGCCTGTTTGCATTAATAGTAGCACTCGTTTTCTGCTGTAGTCGTGATAGTGCCCTGATTCTGTGGTTTGGATCGAGAATGCCTCAAATTGGAGTTCTCTAACTATGCTACAGGATTGGTAGCAGGTAGAGCAAATAACTTTCAAATGAAGATAAGAATTAAATACCCATAGAGGACAAAGAACCATGCCTATTTAATTTTGTGAAAATGTTTAGGTAAACATACTTTTTCGTTTTTAGTATGTTAGGGTATTTGTCTTTTTTTAATCCTTAAATTATACTATCCCTTTAGAAAGGAAAACTTCATTTTTGTACCTTGACTAGCTTTCTGAAAGTGTATGCATAATTTTAAAATGTGGTCAAATTGTCCATATGTTTCCCATTAATACTTTTCTTAGTAAATATGGAACCTCAGTCCATGTTCGTTTTACTACTAGATTTACAAAATCGAGTTTTTGTTTCTTGGAGTAGTAAAATCTCAACTCTGTGCCAGTCTGATCTACTTTGTTATGTTGGCAGCTTTTTGCTAATGCATTTTGTGTTTAAAAATGTTTCCTAATTTAAATCATACACCTACTCCTCAGTAACTGACCTGAAGGCACATGAAAGAAGAAACATTTTCAGTGAAACCTATTCACTTCAGTTGTTATTTTCTACCTTTCTGTGGCATTGAAATATAATCCTGATGTAAAAACTCAGCTTTTAGTCAGTCTGTAGTCTTTTATAGTTGTCTGATTACATATAGGTATAGTTATTTTAAAATGCCTTGTAAGCATTTTCAATTCCCTTTATTACACAAATCTTTGCATATAATTCATCTGTATATACAAAAGATTTGTTATATCTCCAGTACTATACAATAGGAATTAAACTCTTTTCATATTTG